AAGACGTGGACCTGTATGAGCAATTTCCTGTCATAAGATTGGTACTACATCTTATGACTTTGGGAACTTCAAATTTGAAACGTTTTCGTGAAAATTGTGACACAAATCATAACAAAACGAAAATCTGGCGGTACAGTTATATGGGCAGTATATCAAAACTTAGACCTATATTGACAGTTCTATGTATGTATGTTTCTTACATAATGGGAACACAATTGTGACAAAAACACAAAAAAATACCTTAAATCTGTCGGTACAACCATGGCTCAATAAGAAAGGTTGCTTAACTTCAAAGAAACTAGAAAATTGCAACTCCGTGCTGGAGTCTTATAGTGTCAAATAGACTTTTAAATATGGATCAAACGGTCAATGAAGCCGTCACACGCTGCCCGAATGTTGCTTTGCGGTATTTTGGCCCATTCTCGGCGAAGCGCTTGCTTGAGGTGATCGACACTTTGGTATTTTTTAGTGCCAACCTTGCTTTCCAAAATACTCCAGACACAATAGTCCAACGGATTGGTACCCGGAGATTTTGGTGGGCATTGTGCGCTGGAAATGAAGCGAGGAACCATATTTTGTAACCACTTTCCGCCAAGCGAAGCAGCTCTTTTGAGTCTATTTTCTGTTCTTTCTGTTGTGTCAATGGCTCAAAATTTTAACAGATGTCTGCTTAGAAATGACAGCTATCTGAAGTTGGTTGCAATTTTTTCATCTCACCCTGTTCATTAAAAAACCATTGAGAAAACTAATAATTGGTCTCATCTTTGTCTTCCTAAACGTATATAAGTGAACTTTCAAGTATACACCGTCACAAGAAATACCCAAAGGCGTAACCACAAAGCCATACATTTACAGGAGAAACAAAAAAACATAATAAAATGAAAACTGATTTATAAAATAACATCATAACAAACGTAATTTTGGAGAAAAAAAAGTTTTTCTGAAGTTATGTGTGTTACGTCTTTTGTATGTTTATTTTTCCTGAAATGCAAAAATGCTTTAAACACATATTTGGGTATATATTTAAAGAAAGTAGTGTAAATGGAAAATTATAATCAATGTACGTCTGTGTGATCTAAATTTGTTGGGTTCAATTCCCAGTCGTAACACAGATATTTCAATGTACCACAATTATGTGAACGGTCTATAAAATCTATCATTCTAATTATTTATATTTTCATTATATCAGGCGATATTTCAAACATCATATGTTATATGCTACATTTATTGTTAAATTAAAGTCTAGATTTAATTCATCTTGCATTGCCTTCCGAATAAATGGTTTTGTTCGTTTATCATATTGTTTTCCATACAAGATTTTTATTCTTTTTTGTTGTCCTTGAGAGGTCTACTCAGGTCTTAAGGTTTCATCTTTGCTTTTATTAAATTTGTGAAATTAGCCAAACGTGGTCATGTTGAAATTAAAACAAAAATATATACCAATACCAATGGTTGATCACTACTACAGTCCAGTCAAAATAGACATAAAACGACGTGAAATTCAAAAGATTTCCACAAAGCTGAATTTTGGTATGGAGATCAAAAATCTCCATAAATACCATGCCATGCAAAACAGTTATCCTAGGTCAAAGATCACCAGTTGTTATTTTTCGAAATTTTACGAAAACGGTAAGATTTGTAAAAAATATTGTTTGAACAAAAGTTTTAAATCTTGAAATTTCCTAAGAAAAAGTCTTGACGACTTCCTTCCTTATTGTTACCATTTCCAAGATATCACCATTCTACGAGTCACACTATACATAATATGTACATAATTCCCAGACACCTGTGAAGTAAAGCATTTGGAGCATTTTTAAACTGGTTGCTCTATAGCCATCCATTGTTCCAACCCAATTGTTTAGACAATTGCCCATTAAGCCCATTAAGTTATTATTGGGTTAAAGATTTTTTAGACATCCCGAGATATTTTAATCAAATTCATTCAAATACTCTTGAAAATCGGCTTCAACAGTCGATTTCTTTTTTCTATGACTTAGTCATTAAACTCCATAATAAAATTACATGAATCTTCTTCTATTGTCCGCAGCTGCAACTTTAACATCCGCAACTTACAATTGCAAAATATAGTATTGAAGATATTTTCCGGGCTTCTATTAATTTTTTTTGTTTTTGCACACATGGTATTTATGGGGACTTTTGTAATTAATTGTAAACTCAAAATTCAGCTTTGTGTGCATTTTTGCACTTTGAGATGCCTATTTTGAATGGACTTATTATTGGTTAACTTTCAAATGATGTGGGTTACGCCTTTTGTGTTTTATGGAAATTACGGTACGCTGTTACGCCTTTTGGCTTTTCTTACATACAGTCCCTATTTTTGAACGTAGAAGATTGAAATCTTACAGGAGCGCGTATTTTAACTTTATATATCAGATTCAATCATAAAACGAATTTTGACTTTTGTGAGTTACGCCTTTGGGCATTTCTGGTGAAGATATATTCTGTTTTCCTTTTCTTCTTGTCTAATATTTTGACATTTTCCCAAACATGTTACAAAAGTGCGTTAAATATTGTTTTCAATGTTTAATTTAATTTTGTCTTTTTATGCTTTTTATACCCTCCACCATACTATGGAGGGTATATTAATTTTGTCATTCCGTTTGTAACTTCTCGAAATACTCATGTCAGACCCAACAAAGTATATATATTCTTAATCAGCGTAAAATTTTAAGACGATTTAGCCATGTCCGTCTGTCTGTCTGTCTGTCCGTCTGTCTGTTGTAATCACGCTATATTTCGAACAAATTGAGATAGAAGGCTAAAATTTTGCACACATGTATATTTTTCCAGAAGGCAGATTAAGTTCGTAAATGGGCCATGTAGGTCCAAGTTATCATATAGCCCCCATATAACTGTACCTCCGATATTCGGTATTTTGATGATTTTAGTGACATTATTCACCGGAATTGTTTCAAATTTGGCATATGAAGTTCGTAATGGATACTACAGCCTAAGACAGAAAATTACCTGTGCAGATCCACGTCTTCGTATAGCCCCCATATAACGGTACCCCCCGGTATTCGGTATTTTGATGATTTTAGCGACATTATTTACCGGAATTGTTTCAAATTTCGCATGTGAAGTTCGTAATGGATACTTCAGCCCATGCCAGACCAAATTGTCTGTGCAGGTCCACGTCTTTGTATAGCCGCCACATAACGGTACCCCCTATATTCAATATTTTGATGATTTTAGCTACATTATAAACAGATTTTTCTTCAAGTTTCGCATTTAAATATTGTAATAACTTAGGACAAAAGTTGCCTATGTAGGTCGTCGTATAGGCATACGGTATTTTTAAGATTTTAACAGAATGTTTAACGGATTTTATTTTTTGTTTTTTTTTGGAAATTGCCAAATTTGTACCAAATGGTGGAGGGTATTAAAAGTTCGGTCCGGCGAAATTATAGCTTTTTTACTTGTTTAGTTTTAAGTTTGTGAATTTTGGTAGATACGGCAACCAATTTTGCATTACCATCGCCAATTAGCGTATCTTCAAAAAATGGCACACATAAATAAAAAGGCTAACAAGTACCAATATATTACACAAAATTCAAGCTAAGGAAGCTTATGCTTCCTGATATCGACAGATAACATACAATTGCAGTGAGTTCAGTATTCCTAAATGCATTTTAAGTTGTGCAAAAATCCGTAAAAAATGGCGTTTCTGTGTATTTATACCCTGTTTGTAACATGGAGAACGAGATAGACCCATAGTTACTTTTGAGAATCTTCATAGAATCACTTTCTGAGACGATTTATGCATGTCAGTCAGTCCGTCTGTCCGTCCATGTATTTTTGTGAACAAAATGCAGGTCGCATTTATTATTGGAAGATATGAAAATTTTCAAACAACATTTGTTTCGCCCAAGGACGACCCCATTGAAATTGGTGATAATCGGATCAGAATTAGATATAGCTGCCAGATATCTTCAAACGATTTCGGGTTAATTGTGACGAATGACCGATTTGAGGCTTTCAGTCCCTCACATGCATAATATGCACTCCACAAGAATGATATTTGGTATATATATTTGGACTAATGTGTCTGGAGTATTTTGGAAAGCAAGGTTGGCACTAAAAATACCAAAGTGTCGATCACCTTAAGCAGGCGCTTTGACGGAAATGGGCCAAAATACCACAGAGCAACATTCGTACAGCGTGTGACAGTTTCATTCCATAATTCGAGCCAAAGGTGACGAATTATTCCTATTTTAAAATTTGATGCTAGAAATTTAAAAAAAATATATAAATAAGGTCGTTTGACTTTGTTGCAGTTTTTTTATCTCACCTTGATATAGGGCTCAGAAATGCCTTTGTCAAATTTTATCGAGAACGGCAAAAATGTGGATATAGCTCCCATATATCCTTAATCCGATTTCAGGTTCATTGTGCAAATAATGGCTAATATCAGCCCAAGTTTAGGCGAATCCTCTCGAAGTGATATCCTACACTATATAGCAATGTTATTTGGTATAAAAAATAAAATGTCTACGTCAAATTTAGTGAAAATCGATTCAGATTTGGATATGACTCCCATATGTATATTAGTTCCCTCTGAAACCAAACTATAACTGCTCTAAAGCCAAATGTTGATAGGTGGTATGATCTGCTTCAAATAAATTCTTTTTTTACAGGAGCTCCATAAATATGCATAGTGGTGTAGAGTATCACATGCATTTTAATGCATAAACAATCTATGAATATTGCTTCTTAAACAAAATTTTCTTTAGTGTTATGATATATTAATCAACAGTTTTAGTGGTTAAACTTTTTATAATCTAATCAAGGCAACCGATGATTTACAAACAACAAAATTACTTAATATATATAAAGTAGCTAACAATAAATATAAACAAGATAGTGGCAAATTCGAGCACACTCAGAAACATCTTTAACCAGCATTTTCAGCTTAATTTTATAGTGAAACGCTATTGTTTCGGGTCTGTCAATATGTTCATTGCTTTCAATTTTTTCAGATTAGAAAACAATGTGGCTGAGTGGGATCGATCTTACCAAAAAGAAAACAAGTCATTGGAATTTGATGATGACAGTGCTTCCACAAAAGACCGTTTACAGCGACTTGGATACACAACTGGATATGGTACACTTAATGTAAGATAATATTTTTATATTTGTTTTTAAGACATGTTTAGCTTGTTCTTCATTGCTAATATACATCTTGTGCAACAGCAAAAGAGGTGGAAAAAGGTGGCGGCTTTTGCGCGAATTCGTTGAAATCTGAGTAATCACAGTAACTGGTAACTGGTTAAAGGCCAAATTGTAATTTTTTGTAATGTGTAATAATTTTTTTTTTTTAAATATGATTATATTTATTATAAAACAAGTAAGTGAAGGCTATAGCCGTGTTGGGCCGACCATGTGATACCCTACAACACTACAATATGTTAAAAGCTCCCTTATGTCCAAATCCATTTTTTTTGAAGATTTCGCTTTTGAATTTAATTTTTAATTTTTGAAGATTTCGCTTTAGTCACGGAGCACTACCCAGATTACCCTTAGCATTTTCACCAGGGACATTTACGCACTCCGTCGTGCTGTTAGTTGTTGTGGTTCATTTTATGGCTAAATATAATCCAATGGTCATCCAAAATGCTAGAACTCTTCCCTTTCCTTAAATCTCTTCTCTGGCTAGTCGATTGGCTTCAGTTGCGTGATCAGGATTTTTATACCCTACACCACAAGGTGGTCAGGGTATTATGTCTTTGTGCATTTGTTTGTAACAGTCAAAAGGAAACGAGATAGACCCATAGTTCTTTTTGATGATCTGCATAGAATCACTTTCTGAGTTGATTTATGCACGTCAGTCCGTCTGTCCGTCCGTCCGTCTTTCCATGTATTCGTGTGAACAAAATGCAGGTCGCATTTATTATCCGATTGAGATGAAATTTTCCAAACAAGGACGAACCCTATTGAAATTGGAGATAATCGGTAAAAATTTAGATATAGCTCCCATATATATCTTCGACCGATTTGGCTTTTATTGTGCACCAAACGTGTAATATCAGCCCGAATAGTATGGAATATTGCACATACAACCAAATTTGGCCTGAAAATAAGTATGCCAAATTTGATCGAAATCGGTTCAGATATAGCTATAGCTCCCATATATATTGTTCATCCGATTTGTTATTTTTGTCCTCCACAGCCGTAATATGAACTCTGTAACAACAATATTTAGGGAAATATATCAAATACAGCTCAGAAATACCTTTGCTAAATTTTATCGAGATCGGTTCAGATTTAGATATAGCTCCCATATATAACTTCGTCCGATTTACTTTTTATTGTGCACCAAACGTCTAATATTTGTCCAAATGGGATGGAATTTGACACATACGACCGAATTGAGTCTAGAAGGTAGTATGCCAAATTTGGTGAAGATCGGTTCAGATATAGCTATAGCTCCCATATATATTGTTCATCCGATTTGTTGTATTTGTTACACACAGCCGTAATATGCACTCAGGGAAATATATCAAATACAGCTCAGAAATATCTTTGCTAAATTTTATCGAGATCGGTTCAGATTTGGATATAGCTCCCATATATATCTTTATCTGATTTCAAATTAATTTTGCACCAAATGGACAATACAAGTCCGAATTTAAAAGATACAAATTCTTCGGCATATTTAGTCCTTTGAATTTTAAATTATAATTATAATCATAGGGTGTATGATTGAATTCACTCATAAAAACTTTTAATTGTTATTTGGAGCTCAACTAAATTAGCAAAGTGGTGTAGGGTATCATAAAATCGGCCCGCCCGACTTTAGGACTTTCTTTACTGTTTTTTTTTTTTCTGTTTTTGGTTCATTTAAACCCCTAAATATTTTTCGATCACGTCCAAAAGCCAAATTTTGACTCATCTATATAATTTGCTTGTCTACGATATTTGGCTATATTCGTCAACGAAATCAGAATAATAAAGTCATAAGTTCGCCTTTTGTGCATTTCGGGTATCGCCTGTAAGTAATGCTGCCATTTTTTCACACAAAAGTAGAGGTCCATTCTTTCGCTGTCCTAAACTCTAACTTCATGCAAGATTTCGTGTCCTTTGGTTTCTATTTGTGACTTTTATAACGGCTGCGAAATCAGGAACATTTTTATTAGTTGGTCCATTTCAAGCCCTAAATATATTGCAGACATCTTTGAAAACAATACGCCTAGCCCTTCTGAGCCTAACACTTGTGAACAATTTTGTGAGGATCGGACGATAATTGCAATCTGTATATAATAACTCCAACCTGTGTTGTAAGGTGAAAAAATATTACATAATATACACTTCAATATTATAAGTCAAATTGAAAAAATAGCATGCGATAAAAAATATGAAAAAATTAAAAAATGTCACAAAATACTAGAAAATCTACATTAACATCATTATTGGCATCTTTTTATGCCTTCTTTTAGATTTTATTCTTTTGTGCCAGGAGGGCATTCTGAATTGACAACATTTGTCAAAATCGGTCCAGCCATTTTTGCGATATAAGCAATCTAACATCCCATTCCTTTGTATATACACATTGTATATATTTCGCTATATATACCCGACATATTTACTATCGGCATCTACGCAACGACCAGAATTGACCTGTTCGTCTGTTTATGACTTTGCCGGGATTAAAAATATTCGCGGTTTAATGGAAGTTTTGACTTTTATTTAACAGAAATGTTATGGTCTTATTCACCCACTAAATATAACCCGATGACCATCACGATTGGAAGGCATCATTAAGATCTAGCCCCATGCTAACTTTCGCGACAACTACAAAATTATGAAATTTGTCAGTATTTGGTCCATTTCAACCCCTAAATATTATGCGATCATCTCCAAAAGCAATAGGGTTCTATATACTTTCCTATGTGGGAAACCAATATTTCGAGGTGTTACATAATTTTTGGCCCAATCAAACTTATAATACCCTCAACACATAGTGTTGTAGGGTATAAATAGGTATTTATTATTCGGAGGTTGACAACAGCCTTTATGAAACTATAAAATCAATTACTGCAGTGTTATTTTATAATTCTTTAATCATTAGCGAACTCGAACTTTAAAGGCAATACAAATTATTTTGGAAGATAGAAGGCTAAGGCCTTTCTGTTTAGCCCGGTTTTAGTTTTATTGAAATTAGTAATGAAGAAATAAATTAAATTTTCCCGCAAACACTTTTTGAAACAGTTTAAGATGTTTCCTTCTAATTTCTACAAAAATGTTTATATCTCTGGTGACTTTATGAAAAGGCACTTGTCAGGCATTCTCAGTCCATTACAGATTGTGTGCAACGTTGTTGTCTTTACACAATAAAATTTATTTCATATTTGCATGCATTTTTTGGCTTGAAAGGAATTTTGCCCCAAAAAATAATTTTATTGGTTAGACAATAATTATATCAAAGTCAGACAGACTGGTTCAAATTCCTTCTCAGTTAGGTTTCTTAAAAGCCTGTTAATGGTAGGTATACATAGGAGTTCCGCCATGAGGTGTACCTTACCTTGAAGGTGTATAAGGATTGAATGACAACATTGAAGATTCCTTGGACATATTTTTGTGGTAGACCCGGAAAAAGCTGGCGTTATATGAAGAAAATTTATTTACTTATATGAAGAAAATTTAGTTTGAAGTTTTTATTCAGCTATCGGTAGTAATTTCTAAATAGAATGAACATCTATCATCGGTCAATTAAAGTGCTTTAAAGGGCCTAATCATATTTCCAACCACTTTGTTGTACTTTAATCTATAAAGAAACATATATAAAAACCAATTATCACAATTACAGGTTGAGATAAAAAAACAGCAACAAAGTCAATCGCCATAATTTTTACATTTTTTTTTTTAATTTTATTGAGTGACAGCAAAAAATGTCGGAAATAGCATCACATTTTAGAATAAGTTTAGATTTGTTCGAATTGGTCACCTTTGGCACGAATTATGGTCTTCAAACGCCCAATGAAACCGTCACAGGCTGCCCGAATGTTGTTCTGCGGTATTTTGGCTCATTCCCGACGAAGCGCTTGCTTGAGGTGATCGACACTTTGGTATTTTTTAGTGCCAACCATGCTTTCCAAAATACTCCCGACACAATAGTCCAACGGATTGGTATCTGGAGATTTTGGAGGCCATTGTGCGCTGGAAATGAAGCGAGGAACCTCATTTTGCAACCATTCTTGGGTGGCGCGTGCGGTGGTGCTGCGTCCTGTTGGAATATCCAATGTCTGCGGCCAAAATGTTTGCGTGCCCAAGGTTTTAATACACCCTCCAGAATAATTTCGCGATAATATTCGGGATTTATTCTGATGCCACGGTCGACCGAAGGTGCACATTTTAAGCTGACCTCTTTGGCAATTAAACACGATCATTTTTTTTGGTTAACAAACTGCTGGACTACGAATGTGTTCTTATCGGAGAAAACCAAATTCGGCAGTTCACAACTTTCGGCCAAGTGAAGCAACTCTTTAGCTCTTTTGAGTTTATTTTCTTTCTGTTGCGGTGTAAGTTCTTGCACTTTTTGGAATTTCTATGGCTTTACCCCGAGCACATTTTTCAATATTTTCCGAATGGAAAATTGCGATATGTTCAGCTCACGAGCCATTTTTCGGCCACTGCGATGCGGGTTTCGATCAAATTGCTTCTTTACCCTTCGACTTTCCGTCCACTTCCTTGACGTCGGGCTACGCTACCAGTATCACGGAAACAAGCGATGGTACGAGGCACAAAAGATCTATTCTGTATCTATTTTGTACGCTTGTAAACAATATAATGAGCTGTCTCTGGAATAATTTTAACAGCTGTCGGACGAGTGGCTTGGAAATGACAGCAGTCTGAAGTTGGTTGCAGTTTTTTCATCGTCCCCTGCATTTGTATAATTAAGTCTTAACAACATTATCTAATCAAATGGGTTGTAATTTTTAATTCGCTACGTTTAGAAGACCATGCTGGGAGGTAGTTATTATACCCTCCACCTTGGAAGGAGGGTATATTAACTTTGTCATTCCGTTTGTAACATCCCTAAATATTCGTCGTAGACCCCACAAAGTATATATATTCATAATCAGCATAAAATTCTAAGTCGATTTAACCATGTCCGTCTGTCTGTCTGTCCGTCTGTCTGTCTGTCTGTTGAAATCACGATGCCGCTCACATTATTTGACGTAGAGCGTCAAACTTTGGCAGAACAATTTGTATTGTGTCTAGGATGGTTGGTATTGAAAATGAGATATATCGGTCCACGTTTTGGTATAGTCCCCATATAACGGTACCTCCCGATATTCAGTATTTTGATGATTTATGCCACATTTTTCACGGATTTGTCTGAAAATTGGTATTTGTAGGTCATAACGGATCCCAGTTCGTGTGGCGAGACATTGCATGTATAGGTCCACGCTTTGGTATAGGCCCCATATAAAGGTACCTCCCGATGTTCGCTACTTTGATTATTTTATCCACGTTTTTCCACGGATTTGGCTAAACATTAGTTTTTGTTGGTCATAATGGGTCCTAGCTCCGATGGGGAAATATTATATGCATAGGTCTAGGTTTCCGTATAGCTCCCATATAGCGGTCCTCCCGATATTCGGTATTTTGGTCATTATATCCACATTTTTAACAGATTTGATAGATGACAATCCTTCAAGTATAAAAATGTCTATAGAGGTTCCCGTTATAACGGCCTCACTCACTTTATGGTTTTGATAAGATTAACTGTATTATGCAAAAGTTCTTAATAGTATATGAAGTTAAAATGTAAAGTAATGAATTCAGATACTTTTATATAAAAATGTTTCCTTTACCTTAAGGTGGAGGGTATTAAAAGTTCGGTCCGGCCGAACTTAATATTTTCTTACTTGTTTTTTCCTGATTATTAAGGGTATAAAGAGACAGCACAACTTAAATCCTCTTTTATGCCTCCACTATAAGTTGGGTGTATAGTTTCGTCGTCAGTTTGTAGCGCCAAATAAATAATAAATTTTTGATCGTAGTAGACTTTACAATATAGTAAACTATGTCCGCCTGCCTGCTCACCCGTCTGTTGAATTCATGAAAGAAGGCGCAATATTTCAGATAGATTTTTAACTTTCCGTCCGAAATTGGCCCCTTCATTTTGTATCTTTTGTAACTTATCCCGAATGTATACATATATTGTAACGACACAAATTCCTCTGGTTGCTGGGGTTAGCTCACCGGGGGCTAGGGTCTGCCACAGAAATTTAGATAAGTGACCGAGAGAGTAATAACACAAATTATTTGGATTTTAAGCCAATTCTCAATTGATTTATTTAGGATTGTTTGAGGATCTTAGGTGACAGTTATATTCTATGTCTATAAATAAGAACTGCAAGCGGGTTTCCAATTATCGCGGTGACCTGGCTAAGTACACCGTAGGGCTTCAATCAGGGCTTCGGCGATGTCCTCTGCGTGTGCGGAGACCTGGCTAAGTACTCCTAAATATATATTATCCAAGAAGACCTGGATCAGTACTTCTACCTTGGCGATTTCCTTGTGGCATTCGCTGGAGACCTGGGTAGTTAATTTTGGGCGAAACGGTAAGGGAATTCAATACAATCCCGGGCCTATGCGCGTGGTCCCACGGGTTACGGACACCTCAGAGGGTTAAACAGGGGAAATAGGCTACTTGGACCCAAGGGTTACGGACACCTCAAAGGGTTAAACAGGGGAAATAGGCTACTTGGACCCAAGGGTTACGAACACCTCAGAGGGTTAAACACGGGATATAGGCTTCTTGGACCCAAGGGTTACGGACACCTCAAAGGGTTAAGCGCGTGGACCCAAGGGTTACGAACACCTCAGAGGGTTAAATACGGGATGTTGGCTGTAGAACCCAAGGGTTACGGACACCTCAGAGGGTTAAGCGCGTGGACCCAAGGGTAACGGACACCTCAGAGGGTTAAACACGGGATATAGACATCTTGGACCCAAGGGTTACGGACACCTCAAAGGGTTAAGCGCGTGGTCCCAGGGGTTGCGAACACCTCAGAGATCAAAACACGAGGTACTGGCTGTAGGACCCAAGGGTTACGAACACCTCATAGGGTTAAGCGCGTGGACCCAAGGGTTACGAACACCTCAGAGGGTTAAACACGGGATATAGGCTGTAGAACCCAAGGGTTACGGACACCTCAAAGGGTTAAGCGCGTGGACCCAAGGGTTACGAACACCTCAGAGGGTTAAACACGGGATATAGACTTCTTGGACCCAAGGGATACGGACACCTGAAAGGGTTCAGCGCGTGGACCCAGGGGTTGCGAACACCTCAGAGGTCAAAACACGAGGTACTGGCTGTAGGACCCAAGGGCTACGAACACCTCATAGGGTTAAGCGCGTGGACCCAGGGGTTACGAACACCTCAGAGGTCAAAACACGAGGTACTGGCTGTAGGACCCAAGGGTTACGAACACCTCATAGGGCTAAACGCGTGGACCCAGGGTTACGGACACCTCAAAAGTTCTTGGGAAACTATAGCACCACTCTGACTCACCTCAATATTCCGGTCTTGATGCTATGTAAATATTTCTCTTGGAGTTCGCGTACTTGACACCTGTTGCCTTCACTTCACTGGTTCACTTACTGATCCCCCATCCGTCAATCACTTTCCCTTTTATACTATCGTCATTGATTCTGTCCTGTAACAAGCAGCAACGCCTTAGCACCTAGCGTCACAAGACATGTTGTTATTATTTTCCCATCAGCCACGCACTCTATTCTAATTCGCAGGGTTTTTTGTTGCTACATGTTTTTCTCCAATCAGCAACGCATTCAATTCTGCTACGCATGCTTGTTGTTGCCGCTTGTTTTGCTCGTCGACGAAATGCATTGACCTAACGGTATGTTGTTTTGATGTCACCAAACGTATAAACAACAATGAGGGGCACTGAATCAGGCAGGGAAATATTTAACGAGGGCAGATAATTATGTTGGGAATTCATTTATTAATTTATATTTTTTTTATATTCTAATTCATTTTTATTTAAAATTCATAACAATTGACAGTAAATAAATTCAACAGATAATAACAATAACGTAACATTTGTGGGACGAAAACGAGTGCAACGACTTTCGCCATCACAATATTCATGAAAATTTTTGGAAAATCGATTAATCTGCCTCCATGCGTCTGTCCATCCTCCACATAAAATATTAATACATGGCACAATGTTTACGTTATGTCTTTGAAACATTACACAGATCTTCATATAAATCCTAGGATGGTCGATATTAAAAGTAGATTATATCGGCCCTCGTTTAGGCATAGTGTCATCTCCTTACATATGCCATAATTTGATTTAAAGCTTTCAATATTGGTAAATCTCATTCGGAAATAATCTTTAATACTTGTACACTATCATCCACTATACTCTTAGATTTATACCATTTGTATTGTTATCTTCATCACAAAACATTCATTTATATTTTTTCTATAAAATAGGCCCTCGTCTTGATATAAGCTCCAAATAGCTGTGTCGACCGTTATTGCTTTGAAATCTTTGTGATATTTTCCATATGAAGTGACTATCGTTTTTTATTTTCAAATATAATTACATATTAAGATAGAAAAAATTGTTTAACAAATTTATGTGCCTTTGCTAGATCAGATGTTGAAATGCTAGGTCAAAATCCTAGTCACCTTTTCCCAATAGTACCAAAAAAGGGCATCATTTCGTATTAAGTTGCAATGTGAACTAATTTATTTTCTTCATTGTTTATTCAGAATTCAAAACAAATGAATATTGTATGCCAAATTGAGCAATGTATGCACTATAAAAAATTACCAAAAAATATTTTTTATTCACAATTTTATTGGCATATTTTATATATTTTATAAAATAATATATATTATATATAAAATAATATATTTTATAAAATAATTTTATAATTTATAATATGACTCTGCGCCAAAAATATATTGTTGTATAGAACAACTTTGAAATGTCATTGTGTATTTATTTTGTATAAACCATATTTTTTAGAACTATCCGGCTACTACGGGTTTGGCAGCTTACAATCCTATCAAACTAGACTTGGGAGGAGTCGTTTTGGGCACACTTGTTGGAATCGGAGCCATTATCATAATCCCAAAGCTTTTAAGTGCTTTCCATGGTGGTTATGGAGGCTATGGGCGAAGTAAGTAGTAATGACATTTAACACTAGCAAAATCATGGCATGAACTCTTTCAGGTGAAAACTACAACGATGTATCGCAACTAACAAGCTTCGTTAATAAAATAGATGATGTTTTAGGTCAAAACAACATTGACTCCGCTAGTTGTATGCAACGAGCTGTATGTAGTTACGTGCGATCTACCGAATATAATATACATAAAGGATTAGGTGATAAAATGGACGAGTTTGTTCATATTTTAACGGAGTAAGTATTGTATGTAAAGGAATCTTACCTCATTACAATGAGGGCACTCAAAATCTTTTTTAAGATCAATTTTCGCTTATTTACACCATTTTTATACCATCCTTCATAGTTTGTAGCTCCTCGAAATCGCAAATGGCTCAGTTTGGTCTACGGTTTTGCTTCAACTTTGCAAAACCTAACTTTGCATCAGTGCTAGGTCAGGTCGAAAATGGACAATGTCTGTCCACTCCATCAAGTACCTCCACCAAAATGGGGTCAATATTTTGAATAATTTTAAATCTTATAAAATGTAATGTAAGGGTCCGATTGTCTTCAAATTTCACACATCACAATATGTTTATTAACCCAAGGTCTGGTTTGAAGAAGGAATATATCGGTCCACTCCTTTTGGTTCCTCCCTCACAAAGTGTCAAAATTTTGAATAACTCAAAAACAATCATAAAATCCGCAATAAGCAACCGTTTCTCTTCATATTTCACATATCCCATTATTTCTACTAACATAAGATCTGCTGTGAAGATGGGATATATCGGTCCATTCCTCCTGGTCCTTATACCTCCCCCATTGGCCCATGCCTTCGGAATATACACCATAGAGCGTCAACAATTTGAATAATCGTAACAGAAGTCAAAATATATTTAAATCATTGAACATTGACTGAGGGTATACATCTGTCGGCAAAACCGTCTGATACGTTTGAATTTGTTATACCCTACAACACTATGTGTTGGGGGTATTATAAGTTTGATTGGGCCAAAAATTATGTAACACCTCGAAATATTGGTTTAGAATGGAGGTGGGGCTAGGGTCAGAATAGAACCCTATTTCTTTTGGAGATGATCGCATAATATTTAGGTGTTGAAATGGACCAAAAACTGAAAAAAATCCTGGTTTTGCAGTTGCTCTACAGGTCGCAATTATAAACCAATCGAAGCGGAAGTTAGCATGGGGCTAGAGCTTAGGGCTGGGCAGAAGCCTTCCAATTTTGGTGGTCATCGGGTAATATTTAGTGGGTGAAATAGGCCACAACATTTGTGTTAAATAAAAGTCAACTTTTCCATTAAACCGCGAATATTTTTTATCTCGGCGAAATCACAAATAGACGAACAGGTCAATTCTGACCGTTACATAGATGGCGATAGTAAATATATCGGATATATATAACGAAATATATACAATGTCTATATAAAAAGGAAGGGTATGTTAACTAGAATGCTTATATCTCAAGAATGGCTGGACCGATTTTGACAAATTTTGTCAATTCAGAATGCCCTCTTGACATAAAAGCATAAAATCTAAAAAATCGCAGAAGAAATGCCATTAATGGTGTTAGTATAGATTTTGTAATATTTTGTGACATTTTTTTATTTTGTCATATTTTTTATCGCATGCGATTTTTTCAATTTGACTTATAATATTTTGTAATATTTTTTCACCTTACAACACAGGTAGGGGTTATTACATACAGATTGCAAATATCGTCCGATCCTCACGAAATTTTTCAAAAGAATATTGTTGGGCTCAGAATGGCTAGGCCTATTGTTTTCAAAGACGTCCGCAATATATTAAGGGTTGAAATGGACCAACAACTAATAATTTTCCTCATTTTGCAGCCGTTAAAAAGGTCACAAATAGAAACCAGAGGACACGACATCTCGCATTAAGTAGGAGTTTAGGACAGCGGGTACAATGGACCTCTAATTTTGTGTGAAAAAATACCAGCATTACTTACAGGCGATATCCGAAATATACCAAAGGCGAACTCCTGGCTTTTTTATGCCGATTTCGTTGAGGAATATAGCCAAATATCGTAGACAAGCAATTCATATAGATAAGTCTAAATATAGAGATACAGAGGGGCCTCTCACACAATTGAAGCCAATCGACACCTGAGGAAAGAGTTAAGGACAGGGAAGAATTCTAGCATTTTGGATGACCATTGGATTATATTTAGCTGTAAAATCGACTACAACAACTAACAGCACGTCGGAGTGCACAAATATTGAGCAAATCACCAGGGACATTCCAAATCCTAATTTCAAAAGAATGCTAATTTCAAAAATTTCCAAATTTCAAAAGCGAAATCTTCCAATATGGATTTGGACAAAATTGGGCTTCTAACATATTGTAGTGTTGTAGGGTATTTATTTTGTAAATGGTAAAACTAAAGTCATATTTGATTTGATAGATAATTAATTTGATCCTTCCGGTAAACGAATATGGTTGCGTATACGCTTGAACATTGCTGGGAATATGAAATGGGTTTTAACTCCTGAATCCTCACATTGTCTACGTCCAAGTTTTCCAATAGCCCACATATAACGGCACCTTCAGATATTCGGTATTTTGGTCATTTAAGTCACACATTCCCAATTTGATATTAAGAGTTTGAAAAGTATTGTTTCTGTTGTGTCACCACATTTTCTACCTCGATATAACTTTACTTTCAGATATTCGAAATTTTGACGTTTAAAATTAAGTATTTATGGTTAGTAATGGCATAGACAAATGAAGATATAGACAACGAAAAGTAAGTTTTGTCTTTTTTCCAGGTGGCTCTCATCATGTTTTGCATAGTCAACATGCTGATTTACGCGTTCAACCCACTCGACTTCGAAAACACATTTTATCGTTGTTCAAGAATTTCACTTGATTATTCCGGAATTTTTCGATGCGATGGTGAAAAATACGTAATATATTTCATTATTATGGAAAAATTTTCAACTGACAAATATCCTACAGTTTTTGTTATTTTTAACATTTAACAATTGAGTGACTTCAATATTCTCACTCAAACCCCTAAAACGATATTGACGACATCTGCTGATCCGATGTTTTCGAAGATAAACGGTGAGAGCATTTCGTTGTCTATATTTTAATTTGTCTATGGTAATGGGTTGTACCAAAAGTGTCAGAACATTATATGTATTGGTCCATTGTTTCCTATAGCGCCCATATAACGGTATCGCCTAATATGCGGTGTTTTTGTGATTAAAACTTCTAAAATAAAAACCAAAATAGGTTCATGTATTGCTTTAGCGCCCATATAACTTTTATTTATTAATGTTTTCATTAGGGTATTAAATGTTCGTTCTGACCCAACTATGTTTTTTCTTGTTCTAAAATAAAATCTAAAAGTGTCTATATTTCTTTTTTTTTAGAAATTCGCTTTTGGATTATCTGTTGGATAATACGGCCATCAAAGAAGCTCTCGACCATGGAAGGAACTTGAATTCTAAGCCGTGTGAAGACATCTACATCAACTGTCCAGTTAATTCTGAAACAATGACGAAAATGTTAAACAAATTTCTACCAAAAACGAGGAACACTCACCCATCAGAATCTAATTAAAAGTGTCGTAGCCTTAATTTGACAATTACTCTGGCATCAAAATCTTAAATTAATGAAATTAATAACGATAACGTTCTTCAATATAAAATAATATGAAAAAATTATTTAACAATCATTTATGTATACATATGCAAAGCAATCTGGAAGCATTTTTCGAATCGAATTAGAGTAAAAAATATATACATACTGGCTGACTCGGCCCGTCGTTTTATTTTATAATGTTCATTTCTGAGTTTTATTTTGATTTATACGCATACGATATTTCTGTTTGGAAGACCTATACTTTGCTCAAAAATTATGGCCTGCAAATTGTATCCAATCTAAAATTATTGTATACTTTAAATCATTTCTGTCAAAGGAAATATAGTTTAGGTAAATTAATGTAATATAAACTTCTTGTACTCCCAAGATGATTAGTATTAAAGTTTCCCCCATGGTGCTATAAGTTAATGAAAGTCATTGTGAATTTCCTAGACACATTTCTAACCGAATGAGATAAAATGTATTATTTATGACTCCCAATGAGTGGAATAGTTCTTCTCAAAAATTAGTCTATGTAGGTCAAGTTTGGAGAGATTTCATTCTTCATATAGGTTAACTTTTTGTTGAAACTTCAACGACACAACTCAATTATTAATACGTAAAATTTTAAATTTTCAATTTTGGTGGTCATTGTGCGCTGGAAATGAAGCGAGAAACCTCATTTTTTAACCATTCTTGAGTGGCGCGAGCTGAGTGCAATGGCGCTGAGTCTTGTTGGAATTTCCAAGGTCTGCGGCCAAAATGTTTGCATGCCCAAGGCTTTAATACACAATCCAGAATATATTCGCTATAATATTCGTCATTTATTCTGAGGTGCACATTTTTCGATCAAGTTGCTTCTTTATTTTTCGAAACATTTCTGCTGATATTGCTCCTTTCTTCCGTCCACTTCCTTGACGTCGGGCTACGCTACCAGTATCACGGTAACGACATATTTACATTGTCAACTATCAAAATGAGTTTATGAGTCAGTCGTCGTTGAGCATTGACCGAGAGCGGACGCATCTAAGGAGCGTAGAGCATATTACATTTTAAACTTTGTATTTATTCCCAGAATTACTTTTATTTTTAAATAAAAACCATCTTGACAGAATCAGAAGTGGGATAAGAACAGAAATCTACAAGGAATTTCATCATTTTGGATAAGAATTGCAGAAAAATACTCAAAGAGCTGAGAAACTAAGGCGTCAAAGTGATGTAGTAGTGAAGAGCTCAATGCAAAGCAACAACGACGACCAAAGGAGAAACCACGCAAAGGCACCTAAACTCAAAAGTTCGAGTGAGTTTAGTGAGAGTGTGTAACGTGCTCAAAGAGAGCAAAGGAGAAAGCATCAATCAAAGGAGAATGTACAAAGGTATACTCAAAAGTGTGAGTGAGTAGGACAACGATAGTACATCAAGGAGATTGAAAGCAAGACATAAAGAGGGGAACCCCGAAGAAGAAGTTTAAAAAGGGAAAAGTTAACGTATATTTTTAGGGCGTGCGGCTTCTAAAAAAAAGGAATAGTTCTAGATTTGCTGAAGTAACGAAAAAAAAAGGAAAATTCACAAGGAAAAGTATGAAGGTGAAAATAAGTTCGTTAAAGGTTGCGGAGCTAGACAAATTATTACTGGCAAGAAGCTTACCACGAACAGGAAATAAGTCCGAGAAAATTGCTAGACTCATGGCTTGCAATGGAAATGACGAAGTGGAAGTTGAAGATTCAGAGTCACAGGAGGATTTCCATGGATTTGATGAAGCTGAGACGGGTGATGATTCTCTAACAAGTCAAATGCGAGAGCTAAAGGATGTAATGTTGACTCTAGCAAGAAGTGTGCAACAGTTAACAACACTTTCAACAGAAAGGGCTATTACGTCAAATGCAGGGTTAAATTCAAGGGATACAGAACAGCAAGTTCCAGCTGAAGTAATATCAAGACAATCTGGTTCCGGAACATCTGGTTGTTTAAAGGATTACATAGTAATGATACCAGACTTCGATCCAATTAAAGGAAATGTTACATCAGTCCAATTCATTGACAAGGTTGAAACGTTGCAAAGGCTTCATGGATGGTCAGATGAAACAACTTTGTTTGCAGTTCATCATAAAATGAGTGGTGTTGCTAAAATGTGGATAGATGCTTTACCAGTGGTTGAAACATGGAAAGAGTTCAGACAACAATTTTTAAAGGATTTCCCAAGTCGAGTAAGTGTTGCTGACATTCATCGTGAACTTATAGCTAGGAAACGAAACTCGAATGAGTCTTTGGTGGAATATTATTACGCAATGTTGGCCATAGGGAAAAGAGGAAGCGTAGATGAGGCATCAATACTGTCGTACATCATAAATGGTCTCAATGATAGCAGCTTAACAAGAACACTTTTAGCTATGAACCCGCAGACATGTAGTGAATTATTAAGGTCGTTGGAGAATTTGACCATACAAACGTATGCAAGGAAGCAAACAAAGAATGACGAGGATGACAAAACCGTAAGTGTCTCAGGTGGAGCGCCAACCAAGGGAGTAAAATGTTTCAATTGTAACAGGTTTGGGCACATCTCAACTAGTTGCCCACAACCATTGAAGAAGCCGAAGTGTAGTAAATGTGCAAAGATTGGTCACGATGCATCGCAATGCAAAGGTAAAGGTACAACTGTGGCAGCAATGACAGAAGAGTCTAAGGATTACTGCCCACCGGTTATGAAAGATGTTACGGTCAATGGTAAGACATATGAAGGTTTTGTGGACACTGGAAGCGACTTTACCTTAATGCGGAAAGCTGTAGTTCCAGAGGGTTGCGATATGGAAGTAACGTCAAAAAGAATGAAAGGTTTTGGTGGATCTATTGTTGAAGTGGTGGAAATGTTTGAGGCTAACGTTGTCATCGACGAGGAGAGTTTAATGACTACCATTTATGTAGTGCCGAATGACTTGATGCGATATGACGTTCTCTTAGGAAGAGACGTATTGTGTAAGAAGCAAACAAAACTTACAATTGAGCATGGTGTCTTGAAAGTAAAGTCAACAATGCCAAGTACATTTAATGTCGGAGAAAGTCTGGATGAGCATCAAAAGGAAAAATTAGACCAAATACTGTCGTCATTCAAGGACTGTTTTGCTGAAACCCTTGAAGACCTTGGAAGGTGTAAAAATACACAAATGGAAATAAGTTTATCTACGGACAAGCCTGTAGTTGGTAAAAGATACCAAGTTCCATTTTCTCAAAGACAAATTCTGTCAGACATAATTGACAAGTTGCTTCGATGTTGTATTATTCGCCCAAGTGATTCGCCCTATGCAGCATCAGTATTGTTGGTCAAAAAGGCGAACGGTGAAAGTCGTATGTGTACGGATTATCGAGCATTAAATGAAGTCACCATCAAAAAGCAGTACTCGATGCCAGTGGTTGAAGAACAACTTTCGTTGTTATCTGGAAATAAGTATTTTACAACGTTAGACATGACATCAGGATATTACCAGATACACGTCAAGGAAGAATCCAAGAAATTCACGGCGTTTATAACACCAGACGGTCTATATGAATATAATGTAATGCCTTTCGGATTAACAAATGCACCGATGGTCTTCCAGGAAATGATAACCCAAATAATACGTAAGTTGAAACATCGGAGAAACATCATAAGTTATGTGGATGAGGTGATAATCCCGAGCTTGACGATTAGTGAAGGACTCCAAGTACTAGAAGAGTTCCTAACCGCCATAAGAGAAGAGGGGTTGACGCTAAGGCCAACTAAATGTTCGTTCCTTCAGGAAAGTGTAAGTTTCCTAGGTCATACAGTGAGTGCTAATGGTATACGCCCTGGAGAAGAGAAGACAAAATGCATTGAAGAATTCCCAAGACCCGAAAGCGTATCAGATGTGCGCAAGTTTATTGGCATCACTAACTTCTTCCGCAAGTTCGTGCCAAAATATAGCCAAATAGCCATGCCACTTACGAGACTAATGAAAAAGGATGCTGTATTTATCTGGAAAGAACCTGAGGAGAATTCTTTTATTACCCTGAAGACCAGAATTACAACACAACCAGTTTTGGCTCTGTTTGATCCAAATAAGGAACACGAAGTACACACGGATGCTTCTTCTATTGGTTTGTCTGGAGTATTGTTGCAGTATGAAGGTGAGGAACTGCGTCCAGTTTTCTACTACAGTCGTAGGTGTACTGAAAGTGAAGGAAAATATGCCAGTCATGAACTCGAGGTATTAGCAATTGTTGAGACGCTTGAAAGGTTTAGAATTTACCTACTCGGAAAGTGCTTCAATATTGTCACAGATTGCAATTCCATAGCAACAACAAAGGCGACGTCTCCATTACCCCCTCGTATAGCTAGATGGTGGTTTAAATTGCAGGAGTTTGATTTTACCATTACTCATCGCTCAGGTGCCAAGATGACTCACGTGGATGGGATGAGCAGAAGTCCAACGTTACCATCAAGTCAATCCCGAACAGTAGCGGAAAATGTTCTGGCACTCACAACGAACATTAACGACTGGGTCTATCAACTGCAAATGTCGGATAAGAAGCTGAAACACATCTTTGAAGTTCTCAATGGTAATTTGCAAAACGAGGCAAATGAAATTAAGCAGATCAAAGCGGACTATGTAATAGAAAATGGGAGGCTATTTCGCAAAGTCAACAATATGAAACGTATGGTGATTCCAGAAAGAGTCCGGTGGCGAATAACTAAGGCTTGTCATGATGATTTGGGACACTTCGGTGAAGAGAAAACTCTCCAAAGGCTTCAACGTGATTTCTGGTTCCCGAGAATGAGACGTTATGTAAAATCATACATTCAGTCATGTCCGGAATGCTGCTACAACAAGGTAAAAGGAGACAAGGCAGAGGGTGAACTACATATTGAGGAAGTCCTACCAATTCCATTCAGAAGTATCAACATCGACCACATGGGTCCCTTCCCAAAAAGTAAGAAAGGAAATCAATATGTATTCTTGATTGTCTGTTCGGTCAGTAAGTACACCATTATAAAGCCAACCAGGAATACAAAGACTGCTCCGGTTATAACAGCGCTGCGAGAAGTTATGTCGATTTTCGGACAGCCACGAAGAATTGTATCGGATAAGGGAACGGCGTTCACGTCTAAAGAATTCCAACAGTTTGTGGAATACAACGGAATACAACATGTA